TTTTAACTATTTGAGATACTGGGAGATACTTGAGACTGCATCTAGCACGTTACGAAATTGGTACAATTGGTTGTACCTACAGTGTTTTAAAAACCCAAAGGGGTAAAGACAAGAGTCTATGAAGTTGTAAGGGGTGTTTCAGTGCACAAACACTATATCCATATAGGGAAGGATCGTACCATTTGCACTTACAGGAAAGGAAAAGTTTTGGACCCATGCTGACCCAAATCCAGAAATTAAGTCAGTCTTAATTGACTGAAATAGAAAGGACATAAAATGATTCACTGCTTTGGTCCCAATGAGGACAAGTTTTTTCAAGATTAGGTGATACCAAAGGTGAGCATCATTAGAAATACATTCTGAAATACGTTACACTTCCCAAATGTTAAGGTACAAGTCTTTAAAGATTTCAGAAGTCAAATGCCTTCAATTATTAGTACATTGTCCAGTATTAGGAACAGTCACGGAGTACCTGTAAATGTTTGACAATATTCACTACTTCTCTAGTTGAGTAAGGATAATTGATAATTCCTTGGTCGGCCAAGTTTCGGAGCTCTCCAAAAGCTGCTACCAGTTTCTGGAGAACTGGGTCAGGAACATCAGGCCCGTATTGCCGAAGCATTGCAAGCTCTGAATTTGGTTTAGGGTTATCAATTGCATGACAGCTAAATATATCGCCTGGAACAAGCAAGAACAAGAATGGAGAGAATGATGCCCTGCATGGTAGCATGTCATTTTTAGTACATAATAAAGAAGAACATCTGTGGTTCCCAAACTGTGCACTGTGGTGTACCACAGTGAACTCACAGGGGCACCACCAGATACTTTTAATTTTTGAGGAAAACACAACTGTTAGGTATTTCTTGGCCTAGGGTCACTGTAAAAAAATTACTGAGACACTAACGGCACCCTGAGTTTGGGAACCTCTGGTATATATAATCGGCTTACATCCATTTGTTCAGTGACTGTTCAAAGTTACGGTGGTGGTGAAAAAATGGACATAAACCAGTTCTCGAAGTTCTGGCCATTGCAGCAACCCTGTGGTCACATGATTGTGATCCTGGCACTTGGGTGCCTGGCTTGTGATCATGATATCACAGGGAGCTGCAGTCACGTGATTGCCTTTTGCAATCTTCCCTGCTGGTTTCCCACAAGCAAAGTCAATGGGGAAGCCAGCAGGGGAGGTTGCAAGATGCTCTGGTAAGTTGCTCCTGCTTTTTCTCCCACCCGCAGCAACCCCCCACCCACACGCAGTCTCTGCAGGCCCTCCCCCAGCCTGTGGCACCCCTGCACTCCTTACCTGTGTCTTCCCACTTAATGACCCGCACATCTTGGGGTTACAACGGAAACTGGGACTGCCCAGGATTGCCATCGCTAAGTGATGTAGTCATGTGACATCGTGCTTTATGACCACATTGCTTAGCAACAGCAATCCCAGTCCCAATTGCCGTTGTAACCCAAGGACTACCTGCATAATTTGTCCAGTGAACTTGAACAGGAATGCAAACACGCACACAAACTTTTCAACTCTAGGAAAATCTGGGCTCATTATGTTATAATCAGGTCCTGCTCTGTTTCTCCACTGATGGCATTTCTCTATCATTTGTAATAGAACTGTAAAAATTCATAATCTCACAGTTTTCTCCCTAGAATATACATTACTTTAGTTCCCTAGGTACCTGCTGCTTAACTCTGATGCATCTTTTATTAAAACTAATTTGAAGGATTTAGCATGGTTTTAGCTTTAGTATGGTAGCTACTGAGATGTTCAAGGCCAGCTTCAAACCAAGGGCGCAACATGTAAAAACAACCTAAGTTGAACATTGAGGGACTGTTGCTCATTAGTAGAATGCTTGTACTTTACAAAGGTCCCAAGTGCAAGCTTAGCTGGCTTACTACCACTACTACTACTACTTCAACATTCATCATTTCTTATTTTTTACTTACATTCTTTTTTGAAAAACATTTTCCTAGAAAACTTATGCATGGGCCTAAATATGATAAATGTATATATTTTTTCCCAAATAGCAAAGGAGTAACAGAGTCTAAAAGAAAGAAATGTTTTCAGTACAACTAAGCTAGTAGCTTCCTCGATGTTTTTTTCCCTTCAACCAGACTAGTGAAACCAAAGTAGTATTTTTCATAGACAGGTCCATAAAACAGAAGCTTTATAAAAGCTGCCCAGCTTACCAAGTGTTCCAAAAAAGTCATTGCCCAAGAAAGGAAACCCTGGTCTGTTTGCTAAAACAATCATCCTAAAATCAGGATGAATGACTATTACATTCTTTCTTCCATCCGCAGCAGCAGGATCTGGAAGATGCACAAGCAAAATTAGCATTTTTGATCCAACAAGGCTTTATTCCAATGAGAAATGTCACACTCATCAAAAGTTGGTCGTCAGCTAATGTGTATGGAGTCCGTATAACAACATAGCAATCAGTTTCCATAAACTAGAAAGCTATTAAACTACTTGAACTCCTTTACTTGAATTCTTAGAGACACTTTAATAATAACAGTGGCAAGAATACAACACACTATTTAAGTCTTCAGGTCAAACAGCAAGCTAATAGGCCAAACTACATATTACTTTAGGAACTTGGGGCCAAACTGTATGCTATTTAAAGTATATAGCCAGTAGCTATTTATACTTTTACTTTTTATTCCAGAATAAAGTTAAGGAACCAGATCTGGATCAGAAGTACTGAAGGCAAGGGGATTTTTTATGGATATTTTTGCATGTTCTATGCAAAAGATCATGTAAATGACAGGTGTGAGTGCCCATTTCTGACTGTAATGGGGAGTGTTAAGTGAAAGGGTTTTCAGAGTTAGGCTCCCTGTCCACAATAGATCTCCCTGGGCTTACTCTAGAACAAAAAGCTGCTAGTTTGCCCACTGGATTGCTGCTTGTATTCTTGAAAAAAGGCTGCATTTTCCTTGATCACTGTATCATTTTCCTTGATCTTGATAGCTTCATATTAATTAATAACCACTCCCCTCCATTTCTCTGAAAAATTACATTTCAATGTGCTTATTGCTATATTATAAACAGCTTTTAATTTATTTATCTGCCATAAATTCAGCTATTGGAATATTTTCTCTTTGGGACTGCTTACTAGAAACAATGTGTCTCCCGTCAGATAGAATCATTTCGCCACTTTCCACTAAAGTTTTTAAAATGCAGGTAACGTTTGTTGGTGCCTTGTCTGCCTCATCGATCATTAGAATGTGCCCCTTTTTGACAGCTTTCACCTAGAAAAAGATGATTTAGACAACAAACATTCACAGAAAAAATATTACTAATATTAGAAACCTAGTGTTTCCAGCCTGGATGCAAAGGTCTGACCAGGCAGAGGGGTCCCATTCTAATATAATGGGTTTTGTTTTTTTATTGTTATGGACAAGACAAGCAATGCAAAAAATACTCCCAGGTCATGCCAACAAAGAAAGTAAGATCCAAAATCTATTTCACACATTTGATGAATGTGGGTCAGAAGAAAACGGTCCTGTAAACATTTTAGGACACAGCTTTCTTAAAACTTGAGATGAACACTGAATTTATCAAATGTTCATCTTAGAGAGAACTACACCGTGAAGTCATGGGTTCCTGGGTTTTTAATAATGGAAATTATAAGCAGGCTTTCATTACAAGAGACTTACTAGTGGAGAATCTTCATATACAATTAGGCCATCTTTCACAGAAGGCTGAAGTGTAAGACTCTGCACAGTGGTATCTCTAGGACAGCAAAAAAGATGCCAGGTTTTATTCAGAATCAAAATAGGAAAGCTGTTACACAAAATGGGGATTGGTCTTACTTCTAAGTAGGACACAAGACTAACATATTAAATTGCAATGTAGAATATCCCATACTATGTCCTTATAATGCACACAGACACCATTAATAAACTGCTCTGAGCGTTAAGAAAAAATGCTTATGGCTATTATAAATAACACATTGGTGTGGAAAAAGGAACAGAAACAGATATATTGTTGTATCAGGATATTTAGTTTCATTGAACATCTACACTGAACTTCCTTCATTGGAGAGATTCACTTTCACTGGAATGCACTGTACACTCCTTAGCTGTTCTCAAAACACTAAGCTGGTTAGGGCTCGTATGGGAGGCGATCCATCCAGGGATTGTAGGCTAGACTGGGAAGAAAAAAGGTGATGGCAATCCACTTCCACATTGTCACCAAAAAAACCTACATAGACATGAATCACGAGGAGACTTTACTTATTTCCTAAAGTAGCTAAACAAACGCTACATTCATTTTAACACAGCTAGACTTCAAAAGCAAATTTTAATGATTTCCAAAAAACCCACCTCATATTTCTATCAAGGACATAATGTATTACAAACAAACTGAGAGAAACAGTACCAAAGAATAGAACAGTATAGGTTGCAGTGAAAGCTTATTTCTTTATTATGGCTTGTCTATATGATAGTCAGTTTCAGTTATATTGTATCCATCTTTAAACAAGAGATTTGGTCTAAATATACATCCTGCTTTACTGGATCTCCCAACCAAATCACTAACTGGATCCACACTATTCAGCTTCAGTAATTCCAATTAACTCACTTGTTCCTTTCACCAAAAAATTTGAGACCGCATACATGGAAATGTCAAACATGTCTTGGTGGCATCAAGACGCTGTTGGGCTATCAGGCCCTAAACAACTTTTTTTGATATCTCAAATGATCCACCATCATTGAGAGAGGAAAGAGGGAAAAGACATGACCACATATTGTAGCTAGAGACAAAGTAGTTATGTTGAATGAAAAACTCTTATCTTGACCAAAAAATCCCCACAGCCCCTATAAAGAGATCATTGTTACTAGCGTTCTCTTAGTTGTGTGGTTTTAGACATTTGCTGAGTTCTCTTTAGAAGTATTTAGGCAATGCACATGGTTATTTCCTCATTGCATTAGTGCCATATAAACTAAATATCTTTACGCTAGAAATAGGATCAAGCTTCTTTCGTCCCAGACAGCTTGAAATAGATAGAGGTTATCTGCTGCTGACAGATATATATGTGACATTGCTAACCAGTAATAACCACCAAAAAAGAAAAGAAAAAGGAAACTCCTTCCTGAAAGGAAGCAGGAACAGGCCATCTATCCATCCCAATGCCTGATGACTAAAGCAAGGGAAATTTTTTTCATGGAAAGTGAGAAATATTGGGGTGAAGCCAAAAAAGAGATGGAAAGATCCCAACCGCCTGCATCATTTCATTATGAAAAGTGTGTGTGTATGGGGACAGGAATGCCGCATCTGCAAATATTCTGTGCTATTTTCTACTCCCTAATTCACAGTGGAATGCAGTGCTTCTCTTTCTCCTTCGGTCATTTTTGCAGGTCACCAACCACTCTCCTTTCTAAAGGCAAGCATATGCCACAAACAGCCCTTATACTGATCCTGGCATTTTGATTCCAGTTTGAGAAATCTAGATGCATTAGCAGATCTGTAATAAAGTAGTTCTCCAGTCCTAAGGCTGAAAAATCTAGACTAATACGGCAGTGCAAAATGCCTGGAAAAAGCTGCATGGCGTTTTGTTTTGAGCAAATCCTTCTCCTTGGAACGTCAAAGCAGCACACCCTTCGGAACGGCTGTGTGCACACACACACACACACACACACAGACGGTCAGGGACTGCTTTCAAAACAGCTGCACCAAGCCTTCAAAGAGGGGGGCTTTGCTTGCACTACTGTGCGTTGAAAGTGCCCCTTTCCAAACTTTTGGCCTAGCTCTCATATTTGACAGCAAGAATCCCACAATGAAATGCAAGGCTCACCTGTGGAGCTGTAAATATTCTCTTGGTCGATTTAACAACTGAAGGAATCTGTCAACCACTTTATTTTTCCCCACACCCTGCAACAACAAAGCAAGCACAATGAGGAATGTTTTGGGAGAGAACGTAGGATGAAACAGCCTATGAAGGCACTTAATTTGGTAGCTAAAGTGGGAATAGCCCTCAGATTCTGGCACTAAGACTCCAGGCCACGTCATCTGATATAAATGCAAAATATAATCAGGCTGTATCTGACATAAAACCAATATTAACTCATGGGGCTCCTTACAAACAAACAGCTTTAATTGTATCTTTAAATTAAAAGGATGAGGGTTTGTCATAATGTTAACGGCTGTAATGCCCTATGGCTACACAATAGTTTATAAATAAACTTGAAATTTAAGTTAACAGTCTATGAATATTTTTCATACTATAATTCATCAACTGGCTTATGTCAACTCACCTATAGCAAAATACTAGTGAGGCATTTATTTTGGCTTGAAATCCCTATAAGCTTTCAGACAAGCCAGGCTTTATTAATGCAACACAATTCTCAGATAATTATTTTATAGATACAGACACACACACGCATATACAAACACACACATATATGTATAGCTTCTCTTATATATGACTTCAATTATGGCTAATGGGAGTTGCCGTCTAACATATTGATGGCATCTCACTGAGGAGAATGCTCTAACCGCTTTATTATTTCTGGCAAGGGAGCAGCCAGAATTTATTTATTTTTATTCAGAAGTCAGATCTGTAAGTTCAATGAAATTTACTGTTAACTAAATATACATAGAGGCATACATCAAACTAAAAAAAAAATGTGTACGGTATTTCTAGGTAACAGATATATATCTGTCATCACTTGCCAATTAGTACTAGATTCTATGCCTAGGGAACTGGAAAATATGTCTACAGGAAACTTGGCTCAAAATCTTGACCCTGGGCAGTGGATCAGTGGGCTAAATGTATGAAACATGTTTTTACAGAAATATAAACGTATATAAAACATGTTTGCATAGAAATCACTCTTCTTCCCACCATCACCCTGGGAAAACAAATTCAGGTAGGTTCAATATACTGTAACTAAATGAGGGAAAAAATTGAGGACAATGATAACATCACTTTTGGAAGTGTCCTCAAACCCGAAAACAGTACAGAAATGCTTCCTAACTAGAAAATGTTACCCATTCCTTGTCAGAGATCACTTAATATAACACAACACAGCTGCTTTCTATTCTCAACAATATCCTTCTCTACTCTACAAGAACAAATTCTATAGTACAAAATAATTATTGATTTTAGAAGATGGTTCCCATCTTAAGACATGCTTGGTATATTCACTTCAACTTTATTTATGGAGAATACAATGAAAAAGTTCAAGGTCTTCACTCCCAAGACACAGAGCGTATGGTTTCATTCCATTCCATGAAGTTGTTTCTCTTTCACAATTAACATACTTCTTGAATTTCATGAATGGAGAGTACCAAGGCCTTGCCTATCAATAACATGTGAATTGCTGTTGTTACTTTAATTTGCATTCTTCTTTTACCTAGAGACGTTCAAAACTTACATGCTATTATATATTTCTTTCTAAACTCTAATATACTTTTTAAAACCATGCTTAGTCCATGATTCATACACACATTTTGTAACTACGGTTGGCCCTCAAAATATTTTATACCCCTAAAAACAATAGGTTGAAACCAGACTCAGTCATGTTTTGAGCAATGAAATCAATGAGACGCAACCAAGAAGAATAAAGTAATCATAGCATAAGTAAATTTGTAGCTTACCTGTTTTTACAAGAGTAGAAGAATCAATCAATCAATCAATCAATCAATCAATCAAATATACATATCAGCTAGAAATTGATATTTGATTTTTCTTACCTGGTTGCCAACTAAAAGAAGATGTTCCCCAAGCAAAAAGTCTTTTAACATATCTTCCATCACCATCATATGCTGTAGAGGAATGAAACCCATGTTTTAAAATTGAAGAGAAAATAAATTAGTAACAAAACAATACTGAGATATTAATACTGTAATTTTTAGTACACTTTAGGCAATCCTTCTGAGTCAGCTATACACAATTATACTCATCTGGAGAATCATTAATATGGTTCGCTATTCTGGGTTGAGGCATCAATGGAAGGGAGGGAGGGAGGGAGAGAAAGGAAGGTGCTTTGAAGCCTGGGGGGTGCGCAGACCAGTGGAAATGCTGCACTGGGAAATGCTGTTTAGAACAAAAAGGAGGCACCAAGCACCCTGCTTGCTCCATAAAATTGGTCCAGAATCCTTGTAGGGCTAATATCTGAAACAACAAAAATGTTCCAGATTTTGTTTTTGCTGAAACAGGGCTGATCTAGATTGGCTCATCAGAACTTCCAGAACATGATGTGCTTGTTTTGGATTTAAAACAGAACACACTTTGCAGTTCATGCGCACTCTTACTTAGAAGACAGCAATAATGCCCTATAGGATCTTGGATAGGTTACAGAAATGAGCTGAATATAGTTCATGACATACAACAGAGACAAATGCAAACTTCTTGGCTTAGAAAAACAGAAATCCATGGCACAAGTACAGAATAGAAATTATACCGCTGTGTAATAGTGCTTGTAAAAATAGCTTAGAATTTAATTTTAGTTAGTTAAAAAATAAAGTTAAATCATTAAGGTAATACGCTGTGGAAAAGACAAATGCAATTTGACTACACCAACAAAGAACTGTTTTGCAATTATGGGAAGATCTTTATTCTGTCTTGGTTAGCTCCCACCTCAAATGTACAGTTCTCCACACTAGAAGAAAGATGAGGACAACTAGAATAGGCTTAGAGAGGTAGAGAGGGGACAAAGAACTGTCCTATGAAGAGAGAATGAAGGAATTGGGTATGGTTAATCTTGAGAAGACTGAAGATTGGGTCGTCCTATCTTATATCCTATCCTAATATATTAACAATACTAGGTTCTATTAACTCACTTCAATTTTTGCTATATGCACAGATTCTAAAAAACAGCAACATCACTGTCATATCTATGATGATCCTAACAAGCAGGAAACAAGTTTTTCTAACCAGTACAAGAATAGGAGTGTCTATAAAATCTATCCTTTCATTTACACCTTTGACATTTTCATCTGCAGACATCAGTATACAACACACACACACACAAAAGATTGTTTCAAAGCTGAATAGACTTAGACTGATTAGATAGTAGGCCTCCAATGGATAATTAGGTAAAAAAAAGAAAGCAGTATCAATGGTGTATGGTCATTACAGATGTAGAAATACAGAAAAGTTACTCATTTCAAACACCCAAGATATTTCAGGAAGGATCCCTCAGACCCAAAAGGGGACCCACAGAAGACAACCCTTTAGCAATGAAGCAGTATGCAAGAAAATTAGAACAATGTTTACAATGGGTCCCCCATGTGCTGCTACGGCATCAAATGTGTCCCAGATTCCTCCCTTGGTACCTTGCTATGCCTGACTCTTTTCAACCAGTTTAAAAACAAGGAATTGAGCATGCTGTAAACCAAAGTGCCAACCCCTGGTATTTTATTTCCAACAATCTCTCTTGCCCATATATTGGTCTTGTATGTAGCCAATCTTAGGAAACAAAAATAACCCAGGGCTGGAATGGAGGAAAAAAGTAACATTAAATAAGCTCAGATGGTAGGGGATCCTTTGGAAGTTTGTCAAGAACCAACTTGGCTACTAGTAAATGGGTATTTTGTGACTGACTGCATTCATCATGGCATAACTTTTGCAATAGACAGGCCCCTACCCTAACAGCTATTTTGGGGTGCCTACAACATGATCTCAAAATGCCAAATGTGCCTGTTTTGGAGAGGGACCCTGATTCAGAGTACATCTCAAAAAAACAGTGAAGAGGTTTGGTCTCGAGTTATCTGAAAGAACAGGAGACCAGCACTTACTTGAGTATTTTCATAGAAAAGAACATCAGGCACTTTCATGTTCTCATAGGGGTTGTAAACTGGAATGCTGACACTCCCAATCTTGAGGATTCCTGAATTAATTTCACCTGGATGTTCACACAAATTAAGGATCATTACTTAGTGCACAGATATGCACAACTATTTCCATTCAAGATGCAACCAAATCTTTAATTTTAGAAAGTCCTTGAGAAAGACTTCAAAGTAGCTTTTGAAATGTTACTTAATCATAGGTGTATGATTCTGGCCTTTTAGGAGACAAGGATGTAACCATGATTTGTTCTGCAAGGAGGTTTCTTTTCCTCCCAATCCCAGTTGTGGAATTTGCTGATGTAGAAATCTGTAAAAATGCAGCTGGCACGAGAGACTGTGGACCAAACTACACACTACTCTAAAAAGCTATTACGCTTTTCATATATTTTTCATGCAATATAAACACTGAAAATATCATTTCAAGTAGATCCCTTCAGCACCTAAAATTCACAATGCAAATAATGTAAAAGTAGTGATTCATTTGTTGCAATACAAACAACATGTGCAAAGCAACTGATCTAGATTTACACTACTGCAGGGAACAAAGGGTTAAATGCTTCTACATGCACACTAGGATCTAATCTGAATCAGGGTCTCAGAACCTATTGTACATATAAAAAAGTTGCATGTTGTTTAACTCTTCTAGGTGTAGAAATACAGAAAAGTTCACCATCATGAAAACTCTTAGATATTTCGGTAAGGATCCTCTAGCCCAAAGTAGAGAACACAAATCAAAATATACAGTAGTCAACTATTTACCCTAAATCATTAATATTGGCTTCCAATAGGGAAATAGCTTCTTGTATTTTTAAATCAGCACTGAATATGAATCTATCCTGTTACTGTTCCCCATTGTATCAACAGGCAAATTATTTATCACTAGCTCTTGTATTGTACATCACCAGCGGAACAATTAAAAAAATGTAACAGTCATATATTATACACTATAACGCTTGACAATAGAAGGTGATTTTTAAAAATTGCATATATGTATTCCCATTCAACAGAAATTCCTGCCAGAAAATTTCAGTGGATTATTTTAATACATTTTTGGCACAGCAGACATAAGCGATCAAGCAAAAACAGCTGTGGTCATTATCACAGTGTTCCTTTATAGCATGAAGTGGACGTTTCAGATCTTAGGAGCAGCCTAACTAAATGTCCGTTAAAGATTAACTTAGCTTAGCTTGTCTTAACGCTGAAAGCTGCAATGTAATGGTGGGCAGGGAGAGGATATCCTGGCAATCTGCTCCCAGTTACATCCCATCTATCCCCTGCTGAGTTCTATGCAGCTCACACCAATGAGAGTTAAATCTGACCCTAAAGCATCACTGTAGGTGGCAAGGCTCCAAGCTCCAAGGACTCTGTTCACTTCTTGAAGACAAGCAGCTCAAACTATTCCCAAAAAATCGAGCAAGACCATGCCAGCTAATTCCATGGAACCTGCACAGCCAGAATCCAACTCAAAGCAAATCCAAATGACTTTATCCAACAGAGGCCAAGAATAATCTCACAGTGGCCCTGTGGACCCTTCCTACCCAGGAGGAACCGAGTCACCTGAAACAGGACTGCTGGCGATTTGGTAAGGGTAAAGAAGTAAGTACTTTTTATCATTGCCACAAGGTAATCCTTAGGAATCCGTACTAAATTTTTACCTGTGCCTGGTTGGATTTACTCTTTGTCTTCCTCCAGGGATGCTTTAGAGATCTCTTGCCCTGTTTCATTTCCCAAAGTTCCTCTGTAAACCAAGGGACCCTCCAACATCCATACAGAGAGTCTACGCAGGTGTGATCTGATCCAAGGTTGTCACTGACTGCTCATTTGGAACACTGACTAAGGCCTTGGTTGAGCCATGCAGTGTGGCTTCAGAAACTACCCCACATTCCTTCTAGACCCCCCACTGGGTCAATTAAGCATCTGGGGCAGACTGATCAAATAGGTCATTCCTCTATGCACTCATTTCCTGCAGTCAAAGAGAACTACCCGGCTAACAGGGAGGGATCTCCCTATGACAAGGGACTGATGACCACATCCCCCAGTGCATGTCACCACTGCCCTAATACAAAAACCAGATCTAATGTATGACCTCCACTGTGAGGTAGGCCATCAACAACCTGGATTGGGTCCATGGTGGCCATGAACTCCTGAGCCAGTTCACAGTCCAAGCCTACAAAAGGCAAGTCCTGCAGAACCATAAGCTTGGGGAACTCCACTTCCAACTCGCTAGAGCATCATGTACTTCAAGTACAGAAGCATCTATGCAGCAGGGAGGCTGGTATCCTAGTAGCAAACCCATCTAATTTTTATGTTCTAACTTCATAAACAGGGTCCCACATCCAGCCGTCTCCGAATCAACATCCCAGGAAGCCACCAGAACCTTTTGGATGTTAATGGGTGAAACAGGATTCCAGAGTTAGAAATATGACAGGATTGTGCCCAGTTTGTACATGTAAGGTTTACTTAACAAAGGAAAGGAAGAATAATACCAAGAGCTTACAGCTATAGTCTCTTCCCTCCATTTTCTGGGTATCAGCAGAGCTTGATTCGATCCCAGCATCCAACAGGATTTTATGTAAGGCAGATTTTGCAAGATTGGGTAAAAACCTAGATACACAAAAAAAGGGAAGGTTATTTCAGTAAAAGAAATGCTGTTCTGCAGACTTCTTACAGGTGACCAGATTCTACAGTGATCTTTTCACATCTGAATATTATCAGCGCATTGTGCCTTTCTTAGCTTACTGTCTTCTAACTGTGCTGGATGTCATTCCCATGCTCATCCTGGCTTTACCTGAAAGGAGTTATAGCCCAACACATGAGGAAGAGATCAGGTTGGGAAATGATGGGCTCCTATAAGAGCTTTAGATACATCAATCCTCATATGTGTGCGCGCAAGTGTGCATGTGTGAGCATTGTTTTCATTTTGCCAAAGCCTGGAAGTGGCAAAGCAAATTCTTTCCACTACTTTCCAACACAAAGCATCTATACTGATGTCAGCCTTGTGAGGTAGTCCAGACAAGAAGCACACCCAGAAGTACTAGTTCTAACTTCATTGTAAAGCTACATTAACAGAATTTTGCAAGTCTGAAAGTACATCTCTCCCTCCTCACCTTTACAGCCTAAGAAACTAGGGAGGGTCCCTTCTGAGATGTTTGCCATGCTCCCATTCCTTCTGCAGGCTAAGCAGCCTCTTATCTGACCACTGTCTAGTTCCCACATACCATTACAACTATGAAACATGATTAAGTTCATTATAAGTTGCTCTACTAGGCAAACCAACATTCCTCTCTTCAGAAGAAGTTGGAAATATATGTATTTATGAATGATCGGTGGGGTGAATCTATGGTCCTCATATCTCACTCAACTACAACGCTCAGCATCTCTCACTCTGACAGGCTGCTGAGAGTTGTAGTTTAGCAATTTCTGGAAGAGTAAGAAGGAAGAAAATCATCCTCCTTCCAAGAAAACATCAAACAAGGCGACTGTTTCCCATTTCTGAGAAGCTGGAACAATTGTGATCCTGTCAAGGATACATTGCTATGTTTTGTCACTGCAGGATCATTGACAAACCTATTCCTGTTCTGAACAAGGCCTGCAATTTTGCCTTGGCAATTTTGTAATCATCATGGGAATACAATGAATCTCATCTAGCTGATCAAATGTTTTTTGTCAATGACTTTCAAACTGTGAAAGAAATAAATGACATACTTCCAGTGTTAAGATAAAACAAAATACCTATTAAAAACCTACAAAAACGTACCTGGAAAGACAAGCTTTATTGATAGCGTGGTGGAGACTTTCGTCCGGGTAGTGAGAGAGTCGCCGACAGATTCTCAATAACTGGCGCGTAGATAAGGATGAAGCTAGAGACTGTGCCTGTCAATGGGAAATGAATTTAATTTTGTTTATCGTCACCTGTGAAGCAGAAGAGAGAATTCTTTCCAAAGATGCAACACTTTACAGAAGGAACCTTTCCCAGTCTGGTGTCCTCCAGGGACCTTCAGGAAAAATGCTATTCAAAGGCATGGCTTGACAGAGTTTCCAGTACTTTAAATGCAAACCTGATCATGGTTTTGAAGGGCAGGCAGGACCAGGTGCCTTTTGTTATTGGTGCCTCTGGCTTGTGAAGAAGACAATATAAAAAATGCCTTCACCCTATCTTACTAAGGGCTTACCTGAATTCAGGCCTGGGTGCGTGAACATTAATAGTAATGTATTACCCTGCCACTAACACTAAATGTAATTAACCAGGATGTGGAATCAGAATTTGAAGCTGAGTAGCAAATCCTGATCAGTATTAACAATCAGGCAATGCAATGCTGTATTACTATTGTGATAATTAAGAGAGTTTCTTCCACAGACAAGAAAAATGGGAATGGAAGTGGTGGAGATTAAAGAATACGTGATCCAAAGCCATTATCTGTGGCTTTAAGAGTTCAAGGGTTAAGCCTGCATTGGCCTGGCATGTTCAAATGTTAAGAGTAATCCAGTCTGGTGAGATTAATGTCTTATTAAGCTGTCTAGCATTGCCAGACAGATGGTATATCCTGGGAACTAAAAAAAAAAAAAAAAATTCACTGCAATTTTGCCTTCTTTCTCAAATGCCAACCTAATCTGAAACCTTGCCATGAAACAGCAATGCTGTGGCTAAACTCCAACCTGCGTTAATTAGCTATTATATTTAAGTCAACAATTGAAAACCAATCTTTCCATCAAGACAGGAATTTTTCCTGAATTTGTTCTCCACTGACTTTCATTTTCTCTCAGGGCAGAAATGAAAACAAAACACTGCACTAGAACGCTGTGAAGACAAGCATCCAGACATTCTCCAACTTCTAAATCTAGCTCAAAGAAATTTAAGCCAATCTGTATCCAACAGGAACATTCATTGTTAGGACCTAGATCATGTTTAAGGGGAAGAGCAATCTGCACACTGAACAAGTTAGCAATTGCATTTGTGTTCTGTTATTACCACCTTACAGAAGAATCAGCACACATCTGGAATCTTGCAGATAATGTCTTCTCCCCCTATTGCAAGCCGCCGCGGAGTATGCACCTAAGCATGAAGTTCAACTTCCAGCACAAGCAAGCTATTTATATCTTCTTTCTGTGGATGGCCTGTCACTATTCATCTGTAAGAATCCCCTCCCAGGCTGAATGTGACTCACTTCTATGTGATAGCCTCTGGACATTTTGCCATTTTAAGAAAACTCTACTGAGAAGTCCTACTTTTCAGACTCACTCTCTGTAAACAATTTAGACAGAAAATGGTATCGACATGAAGCTCCACGTGCATTTTTCAAGACTGACCACGTTTCCATAACAGTAAACATCTAACTATTCAGTGTGTAGGCTATTGATACATAAAGTGATACTCCATACTTACACAGGGACTTAAATGTTAAGACACGTTAAAATGTAAGATAAAACTTCTCTAAGAAACTCAAAATAAAATTGCTTTCTGAGATTCTGCAAACTCGTGATGGCTTAGCCAAAATGGTGGAGTTTTAGGGATCTGATGATGAAAAAGCAAGACAAAGGATCAAAATTGAAACATCAAAACTCACAGTGGGATCATTTGTCTCACGAAGTTTGTGTGTTAACTTCAATAACTTCTCCACTGCGGCACCAGGTACATTTGGAACCTGAAACAAATATATGTATAAACTTCCTTCTGTGGTCATTGTGATGTAGACAAATCAACACACACACCTCAAAATGGCACAAGGAGATTTAAGAGAAGTGTCAAGTGATTTGGGAGGGAAGTTAATACAAAGAAACATGTGGGAGGACCAAACAGGCCAGTGAACACTGAATGTGCTGAAAAGAGAAGGAATGGGGTATCTTAGGAAATCACTGGTTTGCCAGAGTGATCAACATTCAACAGCAATCTTCCACACTGCACCATTTTGTGTGCTACTTGAATACACATTCAATGCACGCACATATACAACGTTAGCCCAGTTAGTCTAGGGGTAGATAAATATAAACAGGACAGAATATCAAATATGCAGGCCAAGCCCAGTTAGTTCAGCTTCTTGTACATTTATGACTTTGCCATAACCAATTCTGCGAACAGAGAGGAAGCAGGACAGAACAAGCAATGACCCAAACAGATGCCAACGTCAAGCTCTGGAGTCACTTACCATCTCTTGAATAACTAGAATTTCTTCACTCTTGCTTAGTGGCTTTACATAATGGAAAAGGAAAAGAGTTAAGAGCTCCGGGCCCAGCCACTGCTGAGTGGTACTTCCAACAGGAGGAGGCTCTGCCAGTGCAATTAGTCTGAACGAGGGGTGGATGGGAAAAATGGCCCTAGGGGAAAATAATTCGTTTAGTTGTTTGGCCTCGCACAGAGCTGAAGGGTGGCTGTGTGTTGTTCAAAAACACGTTCTGTTTCTGCATTTCTGTTCATGATTTGATCTCAAAATAAATACCCAAGCTAGCATTTTTTCACACTACTCTAACTCATTAGCCTGGGCAGATTAGCCTAACCAGGCACAACAGGATTAGATATGAATTAAACTCCTACTTGTGCATGCCATCTCTCTCTACTGTATTTTACCCAAGTCAACTAATTCACCTGGAAGACTTCCCTTAACTACAGATTACCAGCTGTTAATTAACCCTAACGGCTTTGGAGTAAACCAGAGCAGTAAACAGATACCGCACATTTATTCGATGAGAATATGCTGCCTTGTTCCAAAGCTGTTAATCATAAGTTTCCTGGTTTGGACAAAACGGGAAGCCATAGTTAACTGAAGACTTCCTGTTTGTTTGCCAGTTCACCTAAGAGGGTTGTATTCAGAGGCAAAAGACTTAGTCCTACTTTGCCTTGCAGGAACAATATGAACAAATTATACAGCAGCGGGCAATCTTTTTTTGGAAAACACAAACAAAAATGCGAAAGAGTAAACTGCCTGTGGAAAACAGTCATACAGATCAAAGCCTTGAAGTTCGTAACAGTTATTTTTAGCTGAATGCCGCAAGCCTCAAAGCTAATCCTTTACTGATAAACATGGACAGTGAAGGATCTGAAAGAATAATGTGAAACGGGAATGAATGACAAGGCAGTTGTCAACATGGAGAAGAACAGCAACCATCAGAAGATAGCAACCAACAGGGCATCTGCCAGAGGGGGCAAGGGGATCTAAGGAACATCATGACATCATTGGGCTAATGATGTAAATTATGTGATGTGCATCATGATGTCATCAAACAAGTGGCGCAACTAGTATAATTTATTTTGGTCTTTTGGCTGATGACCTCATGACAGATGTGATTTCACTGTGGTTGCTTCTTGAAGCTTATGGCAACCAAGCTTATTACAAAGTATTTTTGAAACAACTGTCTCCTGGGTCATCAAGAACACTCCTTTATTTAAATCCATTTTATTTTTATTATTAAGTAGGATGCTTGTTTCTGAAAACCTTTTCTCTAAGGATATGCAACATTAACAATCCATACCCCATCACAGTGCAGCATTCTCTAAAGCAGTGTTGTCCAAACTTGGCCAATTATGGGAGTTGAAGTCCACTCATCTTAAAGTGGCCAAGTTTGGACAACACTGCTCTAAAGCAAGGGAACTAATTTCCAAAACAGCATAAGTGGTGGCACAAATACACATACATATATAAATCACAGCTAAAGCTAGCAACCAGGTCCCTTAAGCACCAACATAAAAAAGCACTTTGGCACTGTAATATAACCTATTTTATCGTTGTTCTCCACAGGGTAAAAACCCATTCGCATTACTCTGAAAAGGTTGTTTCTCTACTGTGTAAGGAAACAATAAGTCCACTATAAAATAACACCGGTTCCAGTTTTTTGTTCAGTTTCATGTATTTCAGTTTCGATCCTTTTTCAAAATGTGGCTCTACAAACCAAAATTTTAAAAGTGTCAAGCAAGTATTATGGATAATGTCAGAATTGCTACATGATTCCTGGAATTTGGATTATGAGATTCTGCTGTAGGCTGCCAGGGTTTTGATTGAAATCCACCAAGCATCGTGCCTGATCACAACATTATCCCCATTATTTTCTTGACCTCCATAATAAGTCATTTGAACTCTTCAATGCCACAGACCCTCACTCGCCTCTCCAAGATCAGAACGGACCGTTCCTGTTAGCATTCAGGAAGTCTGTTCAAACATTGCTTTTTCAAAAAGTTTTTGGAGCAAAGGACAACTTGATTGGAGACAACAACTGGGTTAGGATTGATTTAAGGTGGCTCATATGAAGTTCTATTACTGTTGCTGTTTTTCCTGTATTCATGAGCAATAAGCCACCTAGAATCTTTGGATCAGGAAGCACAGAAACAGGAGCAAGCAAACACTGTTAAGAAAGAGAAATTGCATGGAATTGCTAAAGTCAAGACAAGATTGAAAAGACCAAGAAAATCCTCTTCTAGAGCTACCTCCAGACTGTTCAGATCTCCTAAAAACAATCCATGGACCACTGCAAACAACTTGCTGAAATATTTAGCTGACACTAGAGTAATTATGCATAGATCCATAGTACAGAATTGTTTAAATAACAATGATCTGCATGGGAGAAATGTCAGAAGGAAATCTTTTCTCTGACTTCATCACAAAAGTCGTTCAAATTATGCAAAAGAAAACCTTTGGCCACAAGCATACAAGACACATTTAAAGAAAAAAGGGTGAAAGAAATAACACCTTGCACAAGTTCTTAACATGGTTCTATTATGCTCTGGAGTTGTGTGACAACCAAAGACAGAGGAAATGTTGCGTGGATGGAAAGAAGAATGGATTCAACTAAATAGCAACTTAGCCTAGAAGTGGAAGAAACTGAAGCTGAAAAGAGGTTGGTGAGACAACAGCCAGAAACATACCTCCAAATCAACATGAAGAACCTAAGGAAACAAAAATAAAAGATTCCGGAATGGCCCTCACAGTCTCTAGGCTTGAATTTTACTGAAAATCTGTGGAGAGATTGCAACCATGCCATATGTGCAAAGAGACTGAAGAATATTTTTGAGTTGGAAGAGTGTTGTAAGGAAGAGTAGGGAAAAAACCAAAAAGAAAGAGTAGAAAGACTATTAACTGGGTACAGAAAAAACTTGAAAGCTCTTAATTCTGCTAGAAGAGGTATTATAATGTACTGACTGAATGAATGTCCACACTTCTCCCATATTCACTGTTTTCTTATTCTGAATTGTAAACAACTGCACACAAACATCATTGTACCCTGTAGAGGCCGTGTTGGCTTCTGTTCCCATACAGATTTGTTGAAACATACTATTTGATCAGGAGTGCCTGTAGTTCTTCATGCAATTTACTACATAGAGTTTGATCAGGGCTTTCACATAGGAAATAAATGAACACTGCAACTTTTACAATTAATATCTTTTTTTCATTGTATAAATTTCTAGATATCAATCGCCTCCAATATTACTAATTTACTGCTACTTAACTGACTGCTTTAAAGTCACTTTAAAATGACATACTAACCACAATGTTCCTGTTGCCTACGGCTGCTTAAGATGTTTATACAGGAATTCAAGAAAAGGCACAGCTTTAGAGGTTACAGTGAAATAATGTAGTGAAATACCTAACAATCATCAGCAACTGTGCATGTGGCTTTCTTTATAAGCAGTGTGGTTTATAAATATGTAAAACAAATCCAGATCTTCCTAAAGACATAAAGCAAGTCTTTTACTCTTCCATGCCCATATGAAAATTCAATTAATTTTAATACCTAGCAGGTTACCTTTGCTGTAGTTCCTCATCTGAAAGATGCAGCTGTTCTTGTAGCTTTCGGTATCTATCTTCCCTCAGCAACCTGGTACCATCGTAAAGTGTAATCTCTCTATCATGAATCAACCTAAAGCAGATTTTGTGGAATAAATAAATAAATGGAGGTTCCCATCACCCTGGGTTTTCTGTGAACATATATCAGGGCTGGGCCTTTAAGCAGCATTCCTGGTCAGAAATGGAGTGTCCACCCTCAGTGCAATGGGAGGAAAGCTCTCACTGGAATAAATCATGCCAAGTTCTCACACTTGGAGATATTCTGCACACGTGTTGCAATTATGGCCCAACAAGGTACATTATGCCTCTTCTCAGATGGAAGTGTGAACATGCCACTGGACTGTGTGCATGGCTCAATGATTACATCCCTTTTTAACACTCCGCAGACCTATCCATAACTCTTGTTGTACTGACCTTTGAAGGACAGCTAGTGTGCCTGGATTGACCCGGTGAATACCATCTAGAATGACAAGCTTCCCCTGGAGGGCAGCTGTTACCAGTGGAGAAGGTCTCCAGGAGGTGTCCCCGTTGGGCAGAGTGTACCTTTGCTGCAGGAGATCTCGAGCTGTCATATCCTATAAATAACAAGAACAGCACCAAAACTGCAATTAAACTCAGCTATATTTGGCTGCCAGTGCAGAATTCTTTAAACAAATCATGGCCCCAAATGCATGAAAGTGCTTCTTTATTATTTCAGCTATCTTCTCAAAACAATGCTTGGAATATTTTCTTCTTATTTGGACAATTTATTGAAGAGCGCTGCTAGAAATTTCCCTGCGGAAATTTCAAATGAAAAGCAAGGCTGACCTATGAATAGCCACCTGAGCTGGGTATATATTCGTGTCTTTGCTTCAGCAGCACAAATATTAAATAGGAGCACTAAATAAGATGAGTATGTGCAAGGATACACAGATATTCATATTAAAAAATTGGTACGGGCAGGCCACTTTTAAGAACAAGATGAGTTGTTAAAAAGGTGCTATCAATAACAACCTTCCCTGAAATGCTGTATGGGGAAAAATCAATTCACTTCAATCAGGGTAGGAGCTTGGTGTTAATCAGTACATTCCAAGGGAGTAAAATCCATTTTTTCCAGTAGATGAAAATCAATTTATTGCAAAGAGGGCTTTGGTTGAAATCAGTTTCGCTATGAGCATTCTTCTTTGTACTATTCAAGTTAGAGGTCCAGCTTGTTTCCTGCTTACATAACCCATTAGGCTAGAGATTAAGCTACACAATCACTGAATTTTTAATAGTTGAAACTCCCATCCTTGATGCAAATTGTCCGATTCCTATTCAGGTCTCTTGGCTGTAAATCATCATCATGATCTGCCATTGCCCAATAGGGCTTTATGATTTTGAAATATAGCTATCAAATTCTACATCTCAAAAACTGTGCATTGTTTTACTTTTCAGTTTATCCCTAAATTTACTAACTTAGCAGCTCCCCACTTGTGATCTGGGAAGTGCTGGAATCTGCCTGGGTATGCTACTAGGGACAAATAAAAATAAACATAGATATTGCTTAAAATGGTTGAAATCTTATGAGATAGCCAAATCTCACAAGGTTTTGGTAGTCTCACACAAAATCTTGCAACATGTCAGTATCAATTGAGTCTTGGGAACCTCATGAGACTATGACCATTTGTGTGTTTGTGTGTGTGTCTGTAAATGTGTATGTACTAAGCTAATTTAACATGTGTCTACACATACCTTTTTGATGAGGGTGTATCAAAAGCCAGGCCCCATAGACCTATCACAGTATGTTTTATTAATTATTTTTTCCCAAAGAAAATGTTACTGTATTTAGGAAAGTTCAAAGGTCATGCACCAAACAAGTAAGGAAGTGTTTAGAAAAAAGGCCACACGCGTTTAATGTAATTTATATAATAAATTGTCTATGGGGTAGGATACCCTGTATATAAACATATATAATTATATAACTGATTGACTTTATTTTTTAAAAAAATGATCATAAAAAGATATTCATTTATATTTCAAATTTGTCACTGCCCAACTCACTGCAGAGCGACTCTGGGCAGTGACAAATTTATATTATATTTTTAAAATACATTTTAAATACCATACCTATTAAGGACAGCAATAAAAATCAGCTGCCGTTTAGAACAGAGTAACAATTCAACAGCCTACCTTTCACTGAGATGCTAACTTGCTTCAGAGCAGGCAAGAGAGAAAGAGAGAGAGAGAGAGAGAGAGAGAGAGAGAGAGAGAGAGAGAGAGGGGGGGGGGGGGGAG